CCCCAAAACCCCAAAACCCCAAAACCCCAAAACCCCGGTTTACGATTTTAATGTTGAAACTTGAGCTTATGAGTTGGAGAGGGGCTTTAGGGCAGTAAACCAACTTTTTGATATAATAATCACCCTGGAAAAATTGTTGGGGAATTGGAGGAGACGAATTATTAGAGCTATTTTTTTGTTAATTTTTACTTGATGATCAACTAGAATCTTTACTTGCTATGCTCTTAAGCTCATCGCTCAGTCTGAATGAGCTATTCATGCTATTAATCTCCTAAAATATCACCAAAAATATTTACATAATTCTGAGGAGGCTGAAGTAAGTCTGGAGATTTGGCTTTAATTTTGAAATTTTCTACTTGAGCTGATTTCTTCTTAGGCTTGGGTTCTAAGATCAGCAAACTCTTTTTATGACCTCCAATGCTATTGAGATCAGTAGTTAATTTCTTCAATAAGCCTTGCTTCAGTAAGCTAATTGATTTCTTTATAATTGTCTTCTTCGACATCGAGGACCTATATTAATAATCAAACCGATAGAAAATGGTGATGAAATGTAGAAATTCTTCTATACACAACAAGAGTTTCCTAGAAAAAAAAGTAGCATACCGTCTGTTTCCCTTGAGCACATGAGAAATAGCCTTCACTTTACATCTCCTCTTTGCTAAGCTCGAGTTCTTCTTCAATTTCTGAATTATTTGAGGGCCTGGGCGGAGGCTTTTAATCCTCGCGAGGTTGGACTTTCTCTGACTAAGATCATCATTTGATATAAAGGATCCATCAGCATCAATAACCACCGAACGTTCAATTGGTTGAGAATGCTGCTTCAGAGTCTCATTTTTCTGCTCCATCGGAATGTTAAGCTTTGGAGCAGAGAAAACAATGTTCGTCTGGTTATACATCGTCTTGTTTTGTTCCATATCTCTTGTTTGGTCCAGGCTGCATTGGCTTACATTAACCAGCTGAGTCATCAAAATTTTCATCAAGTTCTTCCCCAGAGTTGAAAATCAGTTATTTCAAGCAATAATTTGCCTAAGAGCGTCTGCTCAGCTTTGACACTGGTCTTGAGCTCAGTTAAGCATTTGAGAGTTATTTCTACTTTTCTACAATTCAAGGGTAAGTAAGTGGAAAAACTGGAATAGACTGAATGGTACAGAGAGCTGAAACTCCTTGAGATTAAGAGAATTTCAAAGGAGTTTTGAGTACTACAATGGTATATACATTATTCTGAAGTCTAAAGTCTCCTTTTAGCGCCTAAATGAAGATGTTACCCTAGAGAGTGTGCTGGAATATTTCTTCCCAGAAGTTGCCATTTGTCTTTTATTTTAAGATACAATTTAAAACATTTTCTAGGGGTTTTGGGGTTTTGGGGTTTTGGGGG